CGACCATGTGAGAAAGCAAAATTCGATGGACAGGGCATGTTGCTCGCCCCACCGACAAGCCTGGCTATCGCAGTTCTGCGGTTAATTCACCTAAACAAATACCTTACTGTACAACGTTTTCATCTGCTTATTTGCAAAAACGCATAAAAGCTGCAGGACCAATTAATAATGTGGTGTTTGAATATTTTGTGAAGTTTTATGTATCTTACCAGTATATAATACATAGGATTCTAGATTTTAAGAAAATATTCCCTGTCCACGTATAGTTTAAAGATTTCAAATTCAGCTCCCAGGCATGCGTGATTCTCACGTATGGGCACGCGAAAATTCTGGTGAGGAAATTGTTCAATGAACAGTCAGGCGATTTTCTAAAAAGGCTGTTAAACCGAAACTGTTCGTTTTCCTTTATGCATAATATACGGTGATTTACGCTAATGAGTAAATAACGTAAATATAAAGCAATAACTATTCATACAATTTACGATTTGTTTGTTTCAGTCTAGTGCAAAAACGCATGATCGCAACAACTTTCCAGTCTGCGTTCAATATGAACCATAACTTTGGAGAACAGCCGAGGCCTGCTTCCTTGCAGATGTCAACCATTAATGGGTGCCCCATCTACGATTTGCTAGCAAGACCAGCAACTTGCTCTTGTCTGTACCCTTCCAAACAAAACACTTTTGATGTTAAAAATTAGTGCAAGTGCAACAACGCTGAACTTTGCCTGATTTTTCAGCTCGCACCTCTCGCTTTTTTTACATGCACCTGCGCTGTAAAAAACAAAATAAAACAACAGAGGTTTCCCGCACTCCGCACATTATCATCATCATCATCAACGACCATATCAATCACCGCCATCTTCGGCGCCATCGTAGCCGCTTTCCCGTAACCAGGAACGGAGAAAAAAGCTCCAACCGCCGTGCACTTCGAATTTTTGTGAAGATCGGAAATAACAAATTACCATCCTTTTTTGGCTATCGCTCTTCTGTTGCTACCTTCCCTTCTTCCGAGAGTTCGCCTCTTTCCTCGTTC